GCATTAAAACACATATGAGAAGACAGTTCAGTCACTTACACTCTGAGGCAATCTTCAAAGGCCTTGTACCCTTTTTAAGTTTGGCAATCATCAACTAATCAAATACGCAGCCCCGCCATCCCGAGGGTAGATGATAAATGCAACCCAAAGTGACCCTCGAGGCTTGGCTGCGCCATTGAAACAAAATACAGGTTACGACGATAAATAATAATACTAGCTAGCTACCCACTTATCTCTCAGGCATGTCTCGACTTACCCAAAGTGGTAGGCAGCTAGGATACACCCATTTCCGATCTTCTTCATTGCTCCTAGTATGTACCTTGAAATATTCAACTTCTCATTGTCCATCGCTTTTCTTCCTATGCGCCTCTCTCTCGTCGCTTGGTCAAGTCTTTCATGGTTGGATGATTGTCATCTAGGTGGTAACTAATGATGATTCTTTGAGCAATATGCATTGGAGATAGATAGATAACATCAAGTTTTAGTTCCTTGGATATATAGGCCATCAACTTTGCAAGGACAAGCCATCGTGGCATATATAAGTAGTCTTGACCGATTCAAAGGGGGTGATATGTGAAACTCACAATTCATCACTTACATAGAGAACAAGGTGACTTGGGCGATGTCAAGGTCTTGTTCCTTGAGAGTCTCATACATGTCGTGGAAGTCCACGGGAGTTCTACATCGTTGTCGGGCAAGTGGAAGTACTCCGCCACAACCTTGACTAGAAAACCATGCAGCCAGCCTTTTGCCGCTTCGATGTACGGTAGATGAAACCTCCTTGTCTCCCACCTTCTCCTCGATGAAGCCGGGCCTTGGTTATCATGAACTTCCCATGCTCGTAATGGCCAAGGCGATCATCCGATTCAAGAAATAGATGGAAAGGTGATCTCGGCCTGGGATAGAAATGTTAGTACCATATTATGGCAAAGAAAAGTTATTAGCAAATTATGCTCGCCGCTACCATACCTTGGTTATCATGAACTTCCCATGCTCGTAATGGCCACGGTAAATCGTATTAACCGCGGCGGGCGATTCATACCACCCGCCGCGGTAAATAACGATTTCCTGCGGCGGGCAAGTAAGGTGGCCCGCCGCGGGCAAGTAAGGTGGCCCGACGCGGTAAACCCTTTTCCCACAGCGGGCGCCTCGGTGGCCGGCCTCGGTGGCCGGCCACCGGTTAACCGTGGCGGGCAAAAGAGGTGCCCGCCACGGAGCCCATTTTGGCCACGCTGCGCAAATTGATTCCTGTAGTAGTGCAAGTAATGTAATGAAATCTGGCTATTTTCAGTTTGCTTGCTGGTTATAAATTGATTTTGTGGGCTGCAATATATTAAATCAGCACATTTTATGCAATATTTTTTACGATGTTTTGTGATCCTAAGTGGCACCTGCATATACATCCATGGTTAATGGTTTGTGACGTTTCCTTCACTTGATAACGACGATAATCGAGTGTCGTAAATCAACGACGCCAGTAGGAACGTCGCAAAAATTACGACGAGAATATCAATTTTGTCGCAGAACACCTTTAGCTATAGGGCATAGGCGACGAACGCATTTTTGTCGCAGGTGCGTCGTAAATTGTAAAACACGACATTATTTTCAGTTTCTATGACATAAGTGCAATGTCTAAAAAGGTCATATCTCTTGTAGTGTGGGATGGCTGGCTTGGCGAAGAGAAGAGGAGAAGCGTGAGGGAGAAGGGGATCGGTTGCCGGCCTTGCGGAAGAAGAGGACCAAGGTCCAGGCTGGGCGCTGCCGTGCGACTCCGACCCTGTCGTCGCCGTGCGGGCATGCTCTGGCCCTGCTGCCACTGAGCGAGTGTGCTCTGGCCCAAGCCTCACCACGGCGACCTCGGCCTCTAACCCAACGGTGCAATCCGGCCCTATTATCGCCAGCCAAGGAGAGGAAAAGAGTAGCACGCAGTCGAGCTTGGCGGTGGAGGAGAGGAGGAAGTGGAGCGGCGCACGGTTGAGCGACGACGGAGGAGGCGCGGGCCACAGCGCTGGACATCGCCAAGCACAGGCAGTGCGTGCAGTCTGCGGTGGGCACGGGCCGGCCGTCTAGTGAAGGGATAAGGATAAGGGGAAGAAAAAAATAATAAAAAAACTAATAAATAGGTCGTACATGTCAATGGGAAAGGAATAAGAAGCATGAGAAGAGACTGGCACGTGGGTCCCACCTGTCAGGTAGCTGATCCCACTTTTGATGTCTCTGGACCAAACAAAAAATAGGTAGATCCTATCCTTTGTCAACCAAACAGAAAATGAAGTCGTCCGGTCCTAAAAATTAGTGATAGGACCATCCCACTCCACCTTGTCTCCCAACAAATCGCTACCTAAGAGTGAATAATTTCCTTACCAATATTCTATGCTAGACAATTGCATGATATATAGCATTAACACCCAACACCCAGTCACCACTACCGGAAACAGTAGCTTTGTCGTGTGTTCTGGGCACACGGCAAAGCCTTTGCTGAGTGGGCACTCGGCACAAAAAGACTTGGCAAAGCTGTCTTTGCCGAGTGTTTTTTATCGAGCACTCGGTAAAGACTTTACCGAGTGCTAAAACCGACACTCAGCAAAGACTTTTCGAAAAATATAAAAAAAACGCCGCCCCCTCCGCCCGCGCCCCCCCCCTGTACCCTTGAGCATCAAACTGGAAGGGCCCTATAAATACGCAAACTAATAACAAATCAAACATAGGCAGCGAATAGCTTAGCTGAGTTACCTATCTCGTAGGCAAGGCCAGAGAAGCCGGAGCAGCCTGGGCCGCCGGACAGCCACGGCAGAAGCGGGTCCTCGTCGGGGTCGTTCTCCGAGCTCACGAAGTGGTAGAAGAGCTGCACGCCGTGCTGCTCCTCCACCTCCATGTACCAGTACCGCAACGCCGCCCGCACAGCCGCCAAACGCGCGTGCGCTCGCTCGGTGAGAAACTGAGAACTGAGAAGAGAACCGCGAGCGCGAACGAGAATGGGAGGGGTCGGCGTCACTCGGCGCAGCGTCTAGTCTAGTACATACCCCGTCTCGAGATAGAACGGGAGGGGGCATTTGAACCTGCGCATGCGCGTGACGACGTGGCCACTGCCGCCGGGAGGTGGACGACGAGGCTGCTGAGGAGGACGAGCCACGCCGACAGCCGCAGCCAACACTTCTTGCCGCCGTAGCTCCGCATGGCCGTCGACTGCTTGCCGCCGCGCGCGATATATAGGGAGGGGGCGCCGAAAGAGGGAGGGAGGGGAAGGGACGGCGGCGCGGGAGAGGGAGGAGGTCCGTGGGAGGGAGGGGGGCGGCGGGAGAGTTTATAAGGTCTGACACTCAGCAAACTTTTTTTATTTTCCTTCTTTTCTTCAATTCCACAGTGTATTTTTCTAAATTTGTTCTGATTTACTTTGAAGATAACTTTTCAAATTCACTCAATAATATATATTTGATTTTCTACCAAAATTATTCTCTTATTTTATGAAGTTACAACTCAAATTTAATTTATATCAATTAAAATTCTATAATTACACTTAATAAATTAAAATTATCAAACGGATCAAAAAATTACCAAAAATTCACATGAAACAATCTATGCTCTCTATTGCCTATACAAAAGTTTTGAAGTCAAACCCCAATTAACCGTTAATTTGACTCCAAATCTTATGAATCCTTCTCAACACTAGGATTCTTCTTCTAAGATGCTTTGGTTTCTAAACATCGTAAGTGACAAATTATGCGAAACATTCTCAATTTTTTACCACAACCTCCGTGTAAGATATCATCACATCATGACAAATCTCATGATTTTTAGACTTTATTTGTTTTTTAGAAATTAGAAACCATTCGCCACATCGCTCGTGGTCGTGTTTCTTGAACAAGATGTTCGAAATTTCTTATCATTTCCTGGGTAAGGCCTCACACTAGACTCAATAACATGAATATCATTTTTTACTCATTTTATTCTATTATTTGAATCACTTGCAGTTCAAATTTGACTTATACCAAAAAATTCCTTGAAATGCAATATATTAATTAAATATAGCAAACATATTCACAAATATACTAAATTTTAACATGGAATACCACATGTTGTATGTGGATAGTAGAAAAAGTTTCAAGGTCAGAAGAGAAAAATGAAATTATTTGTCGAAGTGCCGAGACAATCACACTTTCGGCAAACATATTTTTTTGCCGAAAGTGCCTAGTTTTGCCGAAAGTGTTTTTTTTTCTAGTTTGCGAAAGTGTTTTTTGCCTCGCTTGCCGAGTGCAATTATTTTAGAAATGGAGGCAGGCAAAATAAAATATCTTAGGGCCGTAATTTATTGAATATTACATTGTGCATTAAGAAATGTCATTTAACATTTCCTTGGTAAATGGCTACTGTCTCAATGGCTCGTTACAGATTATCGTAAGCCTTATCTCTGTTTTTTTTTCTTTTGGCTTGCATCTATTTTCTATGTTGATTTTCTTAACTTGCTCTGACATGCTGCTGGTGTGCCAAATTACAGGTCATTTATTGGTGACAGGGCTTGGACTACTTTTTGTTCTGATGATTATGATAATGATGATTTGATTTTTCATGACCACAATGGCCGTTGCTACAATGGCAAAATTACAAGATTATCTATTTAGATAGAGTGTATGCACAATGGATAATATGTTTTATATTCGGGTTTTTTTGTAAAACTGGACCTAAAATGTTGAATAATTTGTCAATGGGTGAATTCTTTGACTAAAGTTACTACAATTTTGATCTTGACTCACTCTTCCTGAAAGTAGCTTTGTGTGATCTCATATGTTTTACTCGTCTATGTTCTTTGTAGTGTCTTACATGTCTACCCAAGAATATGAACCATTTATGTTTTTTTTTCTGAAAAATTGAACCATTATGCTTTTTACTAATGATGAATGACAAGTCATGGCAAGGCACCCGAAGGGCTCCTGATGTTCTAGTATATATAATTGAAGCCACTCGTACAAAAGCTAACGCACTATCAGTGCAATTAAGCAGCTATGGCTGATAAAGTAGTTGTCGCCGTAGCCGTGGCTGTGCTGGTGGTCGTCCTCTCTCTCGCCAAGTTGAAGTCATGGCTCTGTGCGAAGCCGAAGCCCAAGCTTCACCTTCCACCGGGCCCATGGACGCTGCCGGTGATTGGCAGCCTCCACCACCTCATGAGCAGTCCGTTGCTCCACCGCACGCTGCGCCGCCTCTCGCAGAAGCACGGCCCGCTGATGATGCTCCGTCTCGGAGAGGTACCCTTGCTGGTCGTGTCGTCACCTGAGGCCGCACAGGAGATTCTCAAGACCCACGACACGACGTTCGCCGACCGGATCACCAGCGCCACCACCTCCTCGATGACGTACAACCCAACCAACATGGCGTTGTCGCCCTACGGCGAGCGGTGGCGCCAGCTCCGCAAGATCTGCGTGATGGAGCTGCTCAGCGCGGCCCGAGTCCAGTCGTTCCGGCGCACACGCGAGGAGGAGGCGGCACGGCTGGTGGCGAAGGTGGCGGCGTCGGCCGCCGTGGCTTCCTCCATGGACATGTCTGCGGTGTTCAAGGCGTTCATCTCTGACACCATCACGAGGGAGTGCGTCGGCAGCCGGAGCCAGTACCATGACGTGTACGTCAACGCATTCCATGAGGCGATACGGCATTCGTCGGGGCTATCCGTCGCCGACGTCTTCCCGTCATCTAGGATCATGCAGATGCTAGCCACGGGACCGCGCAACGGGCTCGCATGCCGTGACAGGATGCAGCGAATCCTCGAACTAGTCCTCAAGGAGAAGAAGGAAGCTATGGACCGCGGCGACCAGACAGTGCAGGAGACCTTCGTCGGTGTCCTGCTCAGGCTCCAGAAAGAGGGAGACGCACCCATTGAACTCACCGACGGCACCATCTGCTCACTCATGTTTGTACGTCTCTCTCGCTCCGATTCGGTCATATATAATCACGTACTCCTATCTGCTATATATATAAATATAATACTGCCTTCTCCATTGGTTCACCTTCCTTCTTCGAGTCATTGTTTTAATTATTTGTTTCTCTACCGACTATATTATACCATATATATATAGGACATGCTTAGCGCGGGAAGCGACACGTCGACGAGCGTCCTGACCTGGTGCATGACTGAGCTGATCCGGTACCCGACGGCGATGGCCAAGGTCCAGGCCGAGGTGCGAGAAACCTTCAAAGGTATGAGCAGAGTCACTGAGGAGGACATTGCTACGGCTGACATTAGCTACCTCAAGCTCGTGATCAAGGAAACCCTAAGGATGCACACTCAGCTACCGCTACTGATCCCGCGCCGGTGCCGGAAGGCGTGCCAGGTGATGGGATACGACATCCCGGAGGGCACAACAGTGATGGTCAACGTTTGGGCCATCTGTAGGAATCCTAAGTATTGGGACGATCCCGAGGAGTTCAAGCCGGAACGGTTTGAGAATAGCAACCTTCAGTACAAGGGTACTAACTATGAGTACCTGCCATTCGGATCCGGCCGTCGTATGTGCCCCGGCGCAAACCTTGGCCTGGCAAATGTCAACCTCGCGCTGGTCAGCCTTCTGTACCACTTCGACTGGAAGCTGTGTGATGGACTGGAGCCTAAGGACGTCGACGTAAGCGAGGATGTGGGATTAGTCACAAACAAGAAAACCAGCCTGGTCCTGTGTCCCGTTACTCGCATTGCTCCAGCTGATGTGTAAATGTATGAGGCTTAGTATGTAATAAAATAATTCCTTGGTCCAAAAGGAAAGTTATTCTAGTTTTGACCTCAAGCTATATATATTGTACTCCTAGAGGAGAATCATGCATGATTAATTACAAAACATGGCCGATCTACACCGTGCATTGCGTATGTAGGGCTCCCATGATCCCATCAAGGCGTTCGCACACTTCGTTATTGAGTAGTTCAATCAGGTTTCAAGGCTACACTGACGTATCACCGGCGTGGCCCAGCGAATTGCTATATGTGTTAAGTACAATCATGTGTGTTAATTAGAGTGGTCATCAATTTGTAACATTGTTTCATTATTTTCAATCACAACGAATAAATCGTTCTGAATAAATGCTTACTCAGCAAGTGGCTGTTTAAGCTTTATAAGGAGGATGGGATTTGACGATCACTGTTGAGGAACGAATACGGGAGAAACAAAACTTCAGGCGAGGCGACCAAAAAGCAACTGACTCACACTTCTAGAAAGGCCTCATGAATGTGAAAGACGAATTTTAAATTATGGATCCTTCAAAGTAGGGAATGGGTCTCAAATTAGATTTTGGGAAAATAGATGGTTGGGCAATTAGTTGCTAAAACTTAAGTACCCTTCTTTGTTTAACATAGTCCGTAGGAAGCAAGACACTGTTGCTAATATTTTTTGGACAACGCCTCCCAATATCTCGTTTAGGAGAAGTTTGGTGGGGCAAACACTATGTGAAAAACGGTTTGTAGCAACGGGACAAATTTTTTGTAGGGGCGGCTCGTGATGGAGCCACCCCTACAGTGGCTTGCTCGGGAGCCCAGAGACCAGCCGCCCCTACAAATGGAACAGCAGGGACGGCTGGTGATACGAGCCATCCCTACAAATGGGTCTGATTTGTAGGGGCGGCTCACTCAGCAGCCGCTCCCGTTATTTCTATTTGTAGGGGCGGCCGGTGATTGAACCGCCCCTACAAATGCCCTGCACAGATAATTACACTATTTGTAGAAGGCGATCGAATCACCACGCCCTACAAATGACCCATATATAAAAAAAACTGTAGCACCTTCTTCCTTCTCGGGTCACTCACTCCAACCCGTGAAAGAAACATGGACCAAATAAGGGTATGATCTTGTTCCCCTACCTAATTTATCCAATATCTTCCATACAAAGCCTAGTCTAATTTACCCTAATTAGGTAGGGGAACAAGATCATACCCTTATTTTGTCCATGTTTCTTCATTTGAGTGAACAATTAGTTAATTTTATGGATGTTTCATGTGCATGTAGATCTAGATCTAGGGTTTGGTTTTTTATTAATTTTGTTTTTTAAAAATTTATGTTTGATGAAATTAGACTAGGGTTTGTATGAAAGATATTGGGTAAAATATATTGTTGCTAATTGTTATCTTTGAAATTATTTATTGTAATCAACAAATATGTATTTTAATTATTTATGGATAAATGGGCCATTAATTAATTTTCCTCTACCATAGTGTGTTTGTATGCTTCATGTAATTATATTTGATTTATATTCATATATATCTGAAGTATATACAATTATTCTCTAGTAATTATTAATTTAATTCATTTTTATATATATCTGAATAAGTAGTCCTTTAATGTTTGTTTTGTTGTTGTTGTAAAAGATGGAGTACAGGAACTCTTGGATGTATGGTTCGTTAGGTTCAAGGCAGGTTTCCATGAAGAGGTGGATAAATTTATTGAAGCCGTAAAGAAGCATGCAACAACATTGATGCAGAATAAGGATACAATTATTTGTCCTCGTAAAGATTTGCAAGAACCGTATGGCATGGACATGATGTGACTATCATCAGATCACATTTGATTATGTGAGGATTTGTTGAGGACTACACATTGTGGATTCATCATGGTGAAACGGTTATTGTTAACGCACGAGGATGAGGAGGAATACGATTTATACACCCTACAATCCTCGGTCCCAATATTCAGCAGAGCTTGATGCACTAATGGATTTCGAGTTTGGCAATGAACAAAGTGGTGATGTGGTGGTTGGGATGGTAACGATGAAGGTGGTGCCAATAATGATGGTGGAGCGGATGTCGGGGATGAAGATGATTTGGAGGACATGATTCGAGCCCTTGGAAAAGATATTTTACTAAATAGCCCAAAAGATCTAGAAATTTTGGAAAGGGTGACAAAAGCATCAAGGAGACTATGTATGGTGTTGAAAAGGGTTGTCCACACATTGGACATTGCTACGTTTTGTGCTTTTGAGCTACTCATCCTAAAGGCTAAGTATGGCTGGTTAGACTGTAGTTTCAATGATCTATTGCATCTCCCTGTCATGGGTTCTCGCCACAACCAAACTCAGTTCTCACCAACACATACCAAGCTTAAGAAGGTCATAAGTCCATTGACAATGGGGTTGAAAAATCCATGCATGCCCCAACCATCAGATACTTTTTTATGGCTAAACGCTCAAGTCATCGGATAAATATCCTCAGCAGTAGGTCCAAATTAGACAAGAACAATGACCTTTACGGTGGGGACGAAGCCTCCATGGGGAAAAAGAGGAATAAGGGTACAAAAAGGTGGTACAAGAATCTCAACCCCAGAGGACACTCCATTAGGCAACGATGCAAAGCAAGATAAGAATTCACCTTGGTAATGTGGTACCGCCAAGGATCGATCGCTTGAGTTGTATCTTCCTAAACCCTAAAGAAGCCACACTCATGACATGGTGGGATGATGAGTGCAAAGTTGATGATGATAAGATTGCACACCGTGCTAATTATAGTCGTGGCAAAGGTTCGATGAGAAGCACAAAGAATTCGGCGATGACCCAAGAAATGTACGATTCGGCTTGAGCACCGATGGAATGAATCTCTTCAATGAGAGGATTAGCGACCATAGCACTTGGCCAGTGATCTTGACCTTGTACAACATCCCAACGTGGTTGTGTAAGAAGAGAAAGTACCTTCTCCTCACTATTCTTATTTCTGGCCCAAAACAATCAGACATTGATATAGACGTGTTCCTTGAGCCTTTGATGCAAGAAATAGAGAGGCTATGGAGGCATGAGGAGCCGATGTACGATGCGTTCCAAAAGGAGGAATTCATATGTAGAGCAATAATATTTGTTACTACCAATGATTACCCCGTGCTGTTTGCTTTGTCTAGAATGATCAAAGGAAGACGGATGCTTTGGTTTGCTTGGATGGTACTACATGGGTGTACCTGGATGCATCCAAGAAGATAGTTTACCTAAGGAAACGATGCATATTAAAGACAAGTCACAAGTACCGCAGCAAATTGTTCTTTAGATTTTATGCAACACCCTTTAGATTGAACCACCTCCGGAGAGACGCATAACGGTGATCATATGTACGTAATGGTGAAAAAAATACGCCACGTCTATGGAAAGAAGAACTGGATGGGACGAATAGAGATAGAAGCACACCTCTATCAAGGCATACCTTTCAAGAAACAATCGATCTTCTTTCAAGATTCCGCCTTATTGGCCGACGTGGAGGTCCCCATGCCATTGATGCTATGCACGCGAAAAATGTCTTTGAGAGTCTCATTGCTACCTTGATGGACACAGCAAGTCAAAGGATGGTCTGAAGCACGGAAAGACATGGTACAACTAAACGTGATGCCACAGCCTTCACCCGATACACCGAGGCTAATGGAAAATACACTCGCCATGCAGCATGCTTCAACCTAACACCGCACGCAGAAGAGAGCTATATGCACTTTCCTCGAGGGGGTCAAAGTCCCGACCGGGTTTTTAGCAAATGTGAAGAAGCTATTGTCGATGAAGGACTTGTCAATAACATAATCGCAAGGCTCACGATTGTCATGTGATGTCGATGTTGTTTCTACCTATTGCAATCGTGGCTATAAAGCCAGAGTTCTTGAAAATGGCCATCACCCGCATGTGCTACTTCTTTTCAAAGATCTTACAGAAGACGATTGGCAAGCAAGAGCTGAGTGACCTACATGAATTTGTGGTGGAGACACAAAACCAACTAGAGATGTGTTTACCTCCTGCTTTTTTTGATATAATGCCACATCTCATGATTCACATGGTTCATCAGATATAGGCGCTGGGCCCTTGCTACTTGCATGAAATGTGGTCCTACGAGCGGTTCATGTCGGTTCTAAGTCGATACGTACATAATCGAGCATACCTAGAGGGCTCCATGATAGAGGGTTATAGTACTGAAGAAGTCGTCGAGTGCTGTCAAGAGTACCTAAAAGTACAGAAAGGGATTGGTAAACCCGATTCTTGTCACAAGGGTAGGCTGGCTGGGAAGGGCACCAGTGGTAGAAAAGTGTTCATCGACCATGATTACAAAGAGGTGAGTCAGGCCCATTATAGTGTCTTGCGTGAGTACACAAACCGATGCAACCGTACATTGATGAACACTTGGCTATGATTATGGCGGAGAGAAATGGTCGTTCGGATGATTGGGTCATGAAACAGCATTAGCAATGACTAACTACATGGTTGAAGGACCAAAATATACCGCCTAGAGAAATCATAGACTCTATTACCATCAGTAGATTGGCGGAGGGGCCATCGAGACAAGTGACATCTTGGAATGCTTATGACATCAATGGGTATATGTACCATACCCACGCAAAGGATAGTAAATATGTGAACTAAAACAATGACATTTGAATAGAGGCTCTCGATGGATTGGGGTGAGAGATCCAATACTTTGGCATCATTGAAGAGATATGGGAACTTGACTATGGAAGGGATATAACGGTGGCCCTATTTCGATGCCGCTGGATCAAACAACACCAACTGAACGAGATCGGATTGAGAGTCCCGGACCTTGAGAATCTAGGCTACCAAGATGACCCTTTGGGTGCTCGCCTTCACATGTCGCACAAGTTTTCTATATGTCTGACCCACAAAGTAACCTCCCCCAAGAAGAAGACAAAGCATGTGGTTGCTCTCCGAAAACATCACATTATCGGAGGTGATGGCGTGGACGATGTTGAAGCTTAGAA